TGCAGGAGTGAAATCGGTTTGAGGATTGTCGACGACTCGTCGAGGATTTTCGCCTGTTCAGTCACGCTCTCCCGCGCGGACATTCACTCTCGCCATGCGCGAGCCGTCTGTGCTCTCCGCGCGTACATTCACTCTCGACACTATTCTCACACAGTACAGAGCCATGGTCGAGGAATTTCCTCGACCGTTATTCACCCTGTTTGGCATCCATTTAAAAGGCTAAGCAAGGTGCCACTGTGCTATTTTTGATGTGTTTCATTAGGAATTCAGAAAATTCGATAGCAAAATTCACAATAAACTCTTCACTAATACGATAGTTATTGATCAAGGAACTAACCTCCGCCCTCCTCAACAATGGTCGAGGCCAGCGCGACAGCAGATATCGGAAAGATGGCGAGGGTATCTCCATTGATTGTGACTGATTTTCGTTTTGCTGACTCCTCAAAATTACTCGTGTCGAACGTGTCTTCCTTGAATGTGTCCTCAGCTATAAATAGTGATATATTTGATGAATTTTCGATTGACTTTGATTTCTCATGAACAATATCGTCGCAATGTGGCTCCGGAGGGTGGGGGAGGAAGGGAAGAGGGGTACAGCCCTAACATGCTTCAGATTCACGGAAACGCTCAGTTTTAGGACTAAGCCTCAGAAAAGAAAAGGAACTCCGAGGTGCGTAAGCATTTCTCTTTCTCTTCTGAATTCGTTCCTCTTCGTTAGTCCTAGTCCTAGTGACTTTCCTATGGACTGCCACCGCAACCCCGGAGACGCTGTGCCCAATATCGTCTAGCAGTATGTACAGATTTAAAACTATTGGAACTTTTACGGATTTTGGATAACATTCTTTATGACACTGATGTTCCTATAAGATTAATATGGTAGTTCTTCACGAGCACGTACATCGCTAAGGCAGTGATCGCACTCAGATTCATGGAGCGATTCTCTCCGTAGGTGGAGTAGGAGAGCGCATAGGCACAAGAATCATGGCAGTGTAGCGATTGAAAGTGCGTGAAGGGGTGGCCAAGACCCTGCCCTGGCACTACCGCTACCATTCGCACTAAACGTGCCGTCTGCTTCCTCTCATACATCTGTGCTCCCCTATCTCTTCTCGTCACCGCATACTGCTCTCCCTCGCTACCACAGCCTGACCTCACTAGAAATTAGGATCCCTAATCTTCAATGTTTTGTTCACCGTTTGTTGCTTTCTACTCACTATCTGCTCTTGCATCTTGTTGTTATTCGAGCAAATGTCACAGGTTTGAAGCACAGTTGAGGATTTCGTTGATGTGATCGACCGTCCTCTGCCAAACTCCCAATAGTGTTCCAATCATCCTGTGACTGTTCATCAATGTCAATGCCCTTGCGTCTTTTCTCTTGTAGAATTCGACATGAGGCTGGGGCTATTATTTGGTTAGGCGGTCAAGCCGCCTAGGTGCGGATTTCGTCGGATGCGGATAAGGCGAAAGAGCGCTATCGCAATATGCGGGAGCATCCTGTAGGACTAAGCCCAGGAAAGGGGCGAAACACCGGGAAACAAGAAATGCTCACGCAATGAGGAACCTTTTGTACTCCACCTGAGGTTCAGCCCCATCGACGGCAAGGGAATGACACGGGTTTGGCAGTCCATTGCTTACCAAGATGTCTCCGTATCTTGCGATAGCGCCGCCAAAACTGAGTCAGTCCAGTACAGTTGAACTTCTATTTACCGTGCCACCTGTCTTTACTGATCAGCGATTCAACTGGTCGTTCATACCACAATTCCCCTTCTAGTCCAGTTCCTCGAAACTTATGGAAAAAGCTCGAAACTCATTATTCAACAAACTGCAGGCGCCTTCTCTTGAAAGTAATTTCTTAGTCCCTACTGGCGAGAGACAGCTTTGACTTTTCGAGTAATCCACAGCTTCTTTGGTAAGCACATTTCTATCCAGCAACACGGACCACTCTGGAGCAGGGTCGGTCCTATCGTTGCTACTTTTCGAAAAATTTTTTACGACCCCCCTCCCCCAAGGTGGATTTGATACGACCCCTTTTCCCTACCTCCACCATCTCCATCTTCCATCAAAACCCCGCCCACTTTTTCCTCCAAAAATGCCGTCGAGGGGGGTATATAGTCACTCTGAAACGGTAAATATCTCCGAAAATTTCCTTCTATTTCCACCATTCAACCCCATTTTTTACCTATACTCCCACTACTTCCTTTTCTAGGGGGGGGGGCGGGATATACGCCCTAAAGTGGGTACGACCCCCCCCTCCTACAAACTCAACCAGGTACGACCCCCCCCCCCGTTGGTACTTGTACCAACGTAGGGTTGACTCTGCTCTGATGTCCATTCGTTGTCTAATCAGACATTTTGAAATATGACTGAAATACAGTGTCCATGTTCGACTCTCGGTCAATCTTGGCATTGCGAGAGTTACTTTCAGTGAGGTTTCTTGAGCCGCAACCAAGATATTATGAACGTTTTACTCGGCTAACGTTTCGGCCGTATCGCCTTCGTCGGAGCCTGGAAGCCGTAAAACGTTCAATATCTTGTTTACGGCTCAAGAAACCTCGCTGAAAGATTGAAATATGATTTATAATGTAAAATCATACCTTTTATTCTCTCTATGGCAGCTGATATGATTGTGATATCTGGAGCAACGGGATGAACACCTGAACTTACAAAAAATCACTACGATATTTAAGATTTTTTTGGATTTCCTGAGGTCACAGTCGTTTTTGTTCGCGGTAGCATTGTCCAATTAGAGCACTGCTTTTCAAGTGCGAAAACGAGAGCAAAGATCGAGAGCTTTTTATTTTTGGTAGGAACTTTCTTTCTATGAGCCTTCAAAGGACCATGTAAACACTTACTTCCACGTCGTGATACGACGTTGTTGAAGGTTTTCTTGAGGCTGTTCTCACGCTGATGTTTCTAAAAGGAAGCAGTTCTAGAAAAGGGAGCTGAAATAAGGCGGGGAACATACTGAAGAGGATACAAGAACAAGAAGCAACAACTCACTCTTTTACGTTTATGGAGGCGATAACCAACAATGACAGTGATTATATAAATAGCATAAAGACCGAGATAGCCTGAAAAGTGATCATATTTCATCGAGGGGTGACATTATCCTTCGGTGATTATTTTTCACGAACAGTTTTTTGTCTCAGCTAGGCTACTTTGGTCTATTTCAGAGAGGGATAGGAACGGTTAGTACATTTCATGGGGTTGCTTTCAAGACTTCGATAAGTGTTCGAATTGCGAGAGTGTCAGAAATGGTTACGAGCAGGGTGAAAATCGTCGAGGATTCGTCGACGACTCGTCGAGGATTTTTGCCTGTTCAGTCACGCTCTCCCGCGCGGACATTCACTCTCGCCATGCGCGAGCCGTCTGTGCTCTCCGCGCGTACATTCACTCTCGGCACTATTCTCACACAGTACAGAGCTATGGTCGAGGATTTCCTCGACCGTTATTCACCCTGATTAAAGGCCAAGCTATCTCATAGACAAAAGAGGCTTCCAATGAAGCAGTTGTGTAACGCGTTCCGCGTGATGCTCATGGTGCACCACGCTCGTTTGCCCTTCCGCGGCCGAGGTACACAGGTGGGACTGCGCCAGTGGAAAAATACCGATTTTTTCATTATCCTTGTGAGAACTCCAGTTGCAGCCCTACTTATTTATTTGTCCGTCTATAAATAAATAACATCGACTGTGATGTGATCGTAAACATTCATGACAACTGAATTCACTACGTTTCATTTCCTTTTCTTCGTGTCCCTTTCTCCTTACATAAGTGAAATTTTGAGCGCTATTGCAAAAGACGGGGGCATCCTTTAGGATTAAGCTCACCTAGTGCTGAGTCCCATTTTGCAGGAAAGAGATTTTTATGCGGTGTGAAATTCATTGCCACCACAATGCCCCCATATCTTGCTATAGCTCCTTA